ACATAATTATAGTCTCCTCTGCAAAGCATTGTAAAGACATATGCCTTTACGCAACACTTTTCAAACAATTCCTGCCCGTTTAAAATATGAGTCTGGGCTGCATTCTTGAAAAAGATAAACCAATGTACTTCCAAGTATGTGGCATCTTTTCAAAGATACCACACATCCATCAGACCCACCGAGGTCACACAGTGACATCATCCAATTTCAATGCATTTATGAGCAGTTCTCCAGTGATTATGTCTACTTCAATTTCGTATTCTGTTCTTGGGCAAGAAGTATAATATCCTTATTCAGAGAAATGGCTGCATTTCTTTCTTTTTATTGCATGCAAAATGTCTCATAAAAATTCCTTAATTTGATTTATAATAGCAAATATGTTTGATGTGCTGTTCTTCTACTGGTTCATTTTTAACTTTCGTTAACTCCTGCACAAATTCATTAAGTGCCTGGTAACAGAAGAGCATGTCACACAATATTACTTAAACATGATGTAAACCAGTAACACACAATAAATCTAATGTCACATCTCTTAACCCACTTGATCATTTCCCTTTTCTGGCAAGGTGGGCTGTCGATAAAATGAGCAGGCATGAACGTGACAGGTTCAGCAAAATGAAGTGCTTTGTCTCCTAAGGCTTCACATTTTTGCCAATATAACCAAACTTAATAAGGAAGTTTTCTACACGTATAGTTATATTGAACTATATTGGGCCTTTTGAAAGTGATCTGTTACTGATGCTTACCCCTATTTAAGTAAGGAGACAGGCTTAGATGGACTGCATGGCTCCTGATGAACCAACATTTTGAGGATATTTGTCTGCTAGGGGGAAACAAGAGGCAAGGCTGCCTTCACCCAGTAATTTTATTGTCTCCAGACTGGAATGGAACACATGGAAAAGCATTTGCTTCTGTATCAGCATTCAGAAATCAGCAAATTTTTCCAAGATAAAGTAACTTTATTCCAGCAAATAATGCCCACGAGGAGAACTTAACTGGCATAGCTACCACAGCATAATTGCTTTGCATTAGCTATGTTGGTTGATTGCTTTGCCCCCAGTTTCTTACACCCCCAGCAATTTACCATGGCTGGTTCTACTGATTAGAGCAATGCCTTAACAATCTTGAGGTCTCTTTCCCCACATCAGAAAAATTTCAGAGAGGAAGCTGTTTCGATGGTAGTTTCAGAAAGCTGAAAAACACATAGCTGAGGAAATATGAATGGGAAAGAAGGTGTGGTGTTCCTGGCTACCTGGCCAGATCTGCAATTGGGTAGAAGCCAGCCCATGCAGAGGACATGCCAGACTTACCCCTCAGGTAGATAGGGAGTACAGCAGCTAAGGACAGGCAGCCACCACCACAGCAGTTCCTACTCACATTTAAGCTTGCATTTAAACTGCCTTTTTGGGGCACTCCTGATCTGTCAGGCTGTCAGCTGGATTAACAGATTTAGGTAGAGGCAGCTGCTCCTCACTTATCCCCTGCTCAGGCAAAGCCATGCCGTGGGCTGACGAGGGGCTCCTGTGGAAGATGCGATCTTATGACAATCATGTTTCATGCCTGAATGCCTACTTATGGGTGAAGCCAGTCTTCTCTGTCTCATGTCCTTTTACTGCTATAAGAAAGATAATACAAAGAAAACATAAAACAGAGACAGTTTAATAAATGATAGTTAAATGGAGGCCATGTGTTGTCTGTCATCTAAGTAACCTGTTGTTCTTTTTTTTTAAATAGCATGGTAATTTGAGTGGTGACAAAGTTCTTGTTGTAAAGGAATCTGAGAAAAAAGGTAACAGCACTCATTGAAGGCCCAAAACATTGAAGGCTTTGTTAGAAAGCTGTACCACCGAATTAATGTTTGATTTGGCAGAGCTTTGCCAATAGCCAGTTTATTATGAGCTTTGACTTGTCTGTCACCTCATAAAAGCCAGATGAAGTTACAACAAAAACATGATTTTAGACATATTTTAATAAATAATAAGCATATGGCAAAACTGAAAATTATAGAATATGTTGTTTGACAATAAAAAATGTTAAAACCCAGAAGCCTTGAGGGAAGCTCTGAGAAATGAGAGGCCTCTCGCTGTGGCATGGCAGCCACCTCACAGCATGCTATTGGCACACACGCACTGGTTTTCCCACAAGTGTTTTCTGCTTTGTGAGGTGCCAGGCACTGAATACTTGAGGCTTCTGTTCCTGCAGTTTGACAAGATATGAGCAAAATGAATATCCGTATCCAGACTTCCAAGCCAAGGGTGGCAGGGAAAGGGTGAACTGAGAGATGACCTTGGTTATACAGGAACTCAGAAGAGCCTTCAAGACAGTTTCTCTGCACACCAGTTGACAGCCAAAGGCTGCCCTGCCAGCTGAGCTGCAGGCCTAGGTAAAACCCAGGGCCAGGACTTTGCTGTCTTCACTGCACCCAAATCCACTGAGCCAAACACAGAAGAGACAGAGACAGAAGACAGACATAAGTGGGCAGTAGGCACTTAAAATGGTAGCCATCTCATTAAGAGACAAAGGCTTCCAGAGAGGAGGAGGTGGAGCCTGGACCAGTACAGAACACAGAGTTGGAGGCGTTCATCACTCTTATTGGATAAAGAAAACATTGCTCATCTTCAGATCATTTAATATTACAACACATAAATTGTCAAGGATGAAGAAAGAAGAGCTGGGGAGAGGCTGAAGTGACTATGAGTGGATGCAAAGAAATGATAAGGGGGCAAGCTAGGTAAAATTAGGCTGAGGCAACAACTTTGCTTATACGAGGAAACAAAATGAGGTGATGGTGAGAAAATACCATGCTACGAAGTGGATAGGTTTCCACCACTTCAGAACTCTGTCAGTGTTTTATCTAGAAGCACCTCTGCCTGAAAAGCAGGATAGCATTTTCCTCAGGAAGTAGGATGAGGGAGGCCATCCCCAGCATATCAGTGCTGGAATCTACTTTGATATTTGCCCTATCTAGTGACCTTCAATGACAGATGATAAAAGGCCAGATCAAGGCTGTAAGGAATGAAATATCCTACCTCTGACAGGAAGCAAAACCAGATGTCCAGGAAAGGAAGCAAGATAATGCAACCGAAGTTCCGTGACCCAAGAATGGGTATTCTTTTAGTTTAGTGGCCTACCACAAACTTCTCTTGTAACTTGTTCTGCTCTGCCACATCAGCATCTACAATATCCTTTGGCAGGAGATCCCCCAATCTTTTGCTGTTTGCATATTACTTCTTTGTTAGAGCTCCTGTTAGCCTCATTTGATGCTTCCTAGTTCATCTAATGAAGGAATATTGTCATTTTTGCTGTACTCAAATAGAGACCTATTAGAACGAAACAAACTGTGCCAGCTGTATCATTTCAGTGGTGAAGAGCCCTTCTTCTACTTTACTGTTCATCAACAAAAAGCATTCATTTGATCATTGTTACTTTCATGTTTACTCTCTCAGCCGTCAGCATTTTATTCCCCATTATTTACCTCTTTCTCCAGATTGCTTAGAAATAAGCTCAAGTGCAAAGCTCTCCAAGCTATCTGTGCAAGATTTAACTGGCATGCTCCCTTCACTGCAAGAGCTACTTACACCTACTCTGCTTGTCTTCTGACCACAAAAGCTACATTCTCCATGTTAGATTCTCTTCCTTAGCCTACATCTACTCCATTTCACCTGAAGAACTCCAACAAATAGTTCTACCAATCCAAAAAGGCTACGTAAAGATGATGATTTAAATGCATGCTTGCTGCTCCTGACAAGTAAACTTGATAGGCTGGAGAGGGCATTCGCTTTTCCAAAGTATGACAAAATTACCCATGGGGCTGCTAATTTTTGTTTATAGTTCTGTTCTCACTAACCAGCATTTCATGTATCCCAGTTTTCACTACACCACTGCTTGGCTGTGCTGCTGAGCCAAACTACTAAGCAAACACACAACTAACTAAAATAGATTGAATCAAAGTTTTTTGGAATGTTAATTTAATAGTTAAAATTTGAATTTCATTTTTTGCAAGCTGACATAAATCCATCCATTATCTAAAGAAAATACGTCTATTTCTGCAAGGGAGAAACTAGCCTTTAACTGCAGTTTCAGCTGTAAGTATATTTCTTTGGACTCCTAAGCATCCTTTAATTGCTGCATATCGCATGCTAAAATTTCTACAGACAAGGAACCCCCAGTATGATGGCCTTGATACTTGGTTGCAAGTCTTGACTTTTTTGGAGCGGGGGGGAAATGGAGAGAAGGCAAAAAGACTCGCCATTGGCCAGAGACACCTAGCATGGAGCTCCATCTGTCTATTTCATGGCAGTGAACTTTCTTTTCCTGCTTTATTTTCTACAAAAATGAAAGGTAGATGAATGTGCCACCTTGTCCACTGTCTTGGCTGCTTGTACATAAACACACCAAACCTATTTTCAACTCAGCATTACAAAATCCCCAATAAGTCAGACAAAACTTCACATCCACATAGTCAGTTCATTAGCATGGAAACTAAAATCAGTTCCTTTTTCTGAGAAAGGCACCTGGCTCAATTAACAGCTCACAAGCTTCAAGTTTACAGCCAGCTACAATAAAGACTGCCTTCTCTAAAAACCTCACTGGAATATGGAGCTTTAGCAAGTGGTTCTACAGGGGAATGGGATAATTGGAACACAGTGTTTCTTCTTCTTCTTTTCCTCCTAACATTTTAGCATCTTTATTAATAAACTCAAATTGTGTTGCATATTAAGATGCTTTAAAAAAAAGAAAGCAGTAGCTCAGAGATGGAACCACATGGCTGGCCATATTTTGCATTAAGAAATATCCAAGAAATAATTCTTAAGTTTTAAAACACTGTATTAGAATCACATTAATCTTTGTGTTTATGAACACAAATACTCTGAAGTTTGTAATTCTATGTGATTTTTAAGAAGCTACTACTAACAATCATAAGTTTACGCATTTATTTGGAACTGACTAACTAATATTTATGAATAGAAATGTTTGAAGAAAAAAGTGAAACAGACAGCTTTTCTCTTTTTCAAAACTTTATTAGGTAGACATTACTAGATGACATTGTAAAACCCCTTGTGTGCAAGTGAATGAAGTCTACAATATGTCTTCTCACAATTCATTAAATGCACAATCCCCCCACGGCTTCCAAATGTTAGTTTTAAGTTGGAGTGCATTCAAATGCTACTTTACATTCTTCTGTTTCACGTGGGAGCAGTTCTTTAGTTTGTTAATAACAAGGGATTGGGTTATCAGTGTAAGTGAAAGGAATGCTTTGAAAGGAAATGAAGAACCGTAAGTCCAGACTTAGGAACTTCACTCAATACGGACACCAGAATCGACGCATAGCCTTTTAAATTGAACTGCCTACCACAAATGTGATTGTATTTAGCAAAGTGAAGCAGTACAGAGACATACCCACTACTGAATACTAGTGAGGTAACATATTGAAAACAAACTGTTAAAAAATTCACTTACTTTCAAAAGGTCCTGTCCAGCAGGACGAACATTGGCAGAACAACTTCCCTTGTATCCATGCATGTACATGTGCATATACAGCCTGTGTCATCTATAGCTTTTTAAAGAACAGGATTTTAGTTATACATTCATCAGGACAAGTTTAAAATCATACAATACTATGGTAAATTCAACAGAGGATTTCAGTGAGCTGTTTCTAGACCTCCTAAACTAAAAGGCACTCTGAAGAGGGTAGCAAAAAATAATCCTCACATTGACACAAACTGAAGCAGCCACAAAGGTATAATATGCAACAGGAATTATTGGTATAAATTTAACACACCAACTGGAATTATTTGTAAAATATTGCCCAGGACTACCAGACATCTCTGTCAAGTTACATCATGAAGACCCATTGATGCTATCCTATGCAACAAGCATAGTTATCAGCTAAAAGCAAAAGACACGTATCAGAAGAACTTAACAGCATTTTGGTTGCATGCCTGCTGGTTTTAAGAGAGCAGAATGATACCCAAAGTAGTAATTTTTTGAAATAAACAGCAACTCTTGGCAATGATGAAGTATTTTGACATGGTGCCTCAGGTTCAGTGAGTTACAGAATAACATAGTTCATGCCTAAAAGTCAGAGGTAATACTGAAATAGAATCCATTAGTACTTTGTGATGAATTAATTCAATATGACTGTATCAAATTCCCTACCACCAAAAACTGTCAGATTTGAAAGCTGAATCCTGATTAAGCACTCACATATGATGTGTTATGAAAAAGTGATACTCCAAGTGACAGCCATATTACTAATTAAGAACTCCAGCAGGAGAAAAGGCCTCTTACACTGTTCAGAAAAACTAATGAATTTCAAGCAAAAAAGGTCCAAGAAGATAATATTCTCATCTTCATCTTTTTCCTTCTTTCCTTCACAAATTCTCAGCGAAGGAAATTGAACACAGTGAAAATGTTTTTATTATGAGTCTACAATAAACAGACTTACTAAACATTTTTCATCTAACACCCATCAGCTGTCAACTCTCAATTTCCTTCTGATAATTACCATTTTGTAGCTCCAATTTTTTCCCCTAAGAGTTCATATAATTGAAATTTTTTAATAAAGCTTTTCTTGGCACCTGATTTCAAATATATGGACAAAAGAAGAGGGAGTAATGCTAGTAAGGAAAAGTCCTTTAGAAAAATCTAACTCATAAAAGCTAAAAGCTGCTCTGTGTTCCCTGGGACAGTAATGCCAGAAAAACTCCACAGTATCCATTGGAAAGGTTTCCAAAGATGGAGAAATGAATGGTATTTTTGCAGATCATATATCTCCCCTTGGAGTGAACGGCAAACGAGAGATCCCAGAGTTATTCCACTAGGCATCATTATCCACTCTGATGGACAAAATCATCAGGTTCCTACCCCAGATGAATACCAGCTTGTATTAACGGGATATGTTAGCTCAAATTAGATATCACTAAAATCCTGTTAAATTGCTCTGAATCCCATACCACCCACAGTGCATCCCTGTGCCCCATGCTCCTCAGTACTTCCATCTTCACATGCGTTGAAGACTGAAGGTGTACATACTACAACTGTAGTCTGACCTAAATTCAGTTGAATTCTTATCTCTGAAGAGAAGAATGTTCTTTCAGTAGTGGAAGATGCCTAGCTGATTATGCTGGAAGACCAAACTCATTCTGACAACACATAGAAGATGCATTTCTGCAAAGTCTGAAGACTGATAGGAAGTTAGAAAAAATGAGATGAAGATCAGTAGAATTACAATAGCCATGTCAAGTTAACATCACCACTCTTGAAACAATAACTTGCTCACTAACAATGTTCTTCAACCTTCTGAGCAAGCCAGTATTTAGCCCAGCTTAACACTTCTGTGTGTAGCACTGACTACCTAACAAAAATACTTAACAGATATTGCTTTATCGGGGGGGGTGGACAACACTTTTCATTTGTTTCAAGCAATAAGGCACTTACACATTTAAAATTTCTCATTATATAAAACACACAATACTGGAATTCAAGTGTTGACTACATGGATATTGCCTACCTCCAGCTTTTATAGCCTTACTCTTAGTCATGCAGAAAACTCTAATCACTAATGCAATACATTTTACGCAGCTCAAATGTGGAATCAGAGGTTTCTTTATTAATGAAACTGAATTTTGTCCAGCATTCTACATGTGCCAGAAACAGCTAAACTAAAAAGGATGACCTATCATTTTACTAACCTTGTATCCCATCACTCAGATTAAACTTAAGGAGAATTCTTGACACTAAAATAGAGAAAGAAGTGGGAAAAGGAGAAAATTTCTCATCAACTCTGCTGCCTAATTGGAAAAAAAAATGCAAAATTAAAAGTCGTAAAGAAGAAGATATTTCAGTAGTTTGCATTTAAATAAATACAATACAAATCTTTTCCCAATATAGCTCAGCAAAATCTAATGTGATCATTTCCTAAGATCCAATTTTGTCTTCAACTATTTCCAGAAATCAGTTTCAGATTATGAAATCTGAAAGGAAAAAGAGTTAGAGATCAAGTGTATAATTAATGGAAATATATGGTAAACATTTTATTACGAGATTGGTAAACAGTGATATGGGAAAATCTACACCTGTTCCTGTAATTTCTGGACATGAAACAGCATAATGTAAATTGATACCAAAGAACTCTTCATAGTGCGTTTTTATGCAAAAAAATAGTTCATGAGTAAAGACTGATCTCCTTATCCACAACTTGCATAAGAATAGAAAAGTTCAGTTGGAAGAGATCTACAGAATCCTAATTTCTGATTGCTTCAGAGCTAACCAAAACATACATCATGTTGTTGAGGGCGTTGTCCAAATCCTGCTTGAATAGGCAGAGTACATCAGCCACCTCTCAAAGAAACCTGTTCCAGGGTTTGACCACCCTCATGCTAACGACATGTTTCCTAATACTTCGTCTTAAGACATGAAATAAAAATATTTGACTGCATCAGTGTTTTTACAAGACAGATTTAAAATATGTGAAACGCTTGTTTGGATTCTGTGAGTAGATTTTCATTCTAAAAATGAGGTAAATGTGGCACTGTATTAGTAATATCATGCTCAGTAACAGAAGGATAAAATTGCAACAATACTGTTTTAAGTTTTCAGCAAGATAAAACGCTGAATGGGGCTAGCATGCAACAAAGCTCAAGCAAGTATGTGCAAAATCCATTTTCTACTAAAACCAAACATTTTGTACATAACTTTCTTCTCTTTAGACTTCAATCCATACAACACAGTTCAGATCTACTTTTCATGTTTTGATAAGCCAACTAAACTCCAAAGAAGACTTCTTCCACACTAATATGCATTCTTAACAGACTAATTACTATAATACCTGTTTTTAAATTAAAAATAGGTATTGAGAAGTAAATGATTTGAATTACTCTTAGAAATTTATGTGCTTTTTCTTTTTCTTTCTTTCTTTCTTTTTTTTTTTTTTTTTAAAGCTAGGGAATAACTAATTAAAGCCTAAAACAAGTCATCACCATTGAAATCAAGCATGCACTGGTTTCATTTCTCTACCTTACGGCATTTCAATGTCAGGCTAAGAGCATCAGTGATTAGCTGTACTAAAGGAATGAACACTCCATTCCTTATTGGAGAACAAGTACAGACCCTGAACCCACACGCACAGAACATGGAAGAAACAGCAAGGAAGTTATACTCTCATGTAACTGAAACAATCCACATTTGGTAGCTTGCTTTTTTTAATTCAAAAAAAAGGAAAAAAAATACCTGTAGCAATGTGCCAGCTTCAGCAGTGACTGCACTGCTAGTCTTGCAGCTGAATCAAGGCTCAGCTGTTTCTTTCATGTAACAGCAATACGAAAAGCCAGCAAATATGCCAGCAGTGTTACTTTTTAAATACATGTGCCCTCTTTTCAAAGTTTATGCATTAAGCCTGAAAAATATTAAACTGCTATAACTCCAATTCTTATGCCATGCTTACATTTGTTAGAATTTTAAAATAGGTTATTTAACACTTTCTGTGGACATTCGTTTTTAATGTTACTAGTAACTCAAATCATTAAGATCCCTCTCTTATTAAAAGCTTACATTCATTCCCCTGGCTATTTGCTTTAGTAAGAATGCTATTTGGACAATCTTCCTTTACGATAATTTGCATTTCAGAAATAAATCAGATTTTCAAGTAACTGCATAATGGTTGTCAATTATGGCTGTTAACATACTTCTTAGTATTTTGGAATACCAAAGAATTTTGGCCCAGTACTGTGCTGGCATAAAATGCGCATAAATTTCCTGATTTAAAAGGGTTAAGGCTGATTTCAGGAGCAGATCCACTACAAAATTAGAAGATACAAAGAGACTCTCTCTCTCTAGTTTCCTTGTGTATGATTCTTTCCATCAGCAAAATAAACAGAGGAGAATATAAAGTAACAGTAATCCACAGTTCTCCTGCACGACTTGGCACTATGTCGTAATTATCATACCAAGAATTATGACTGATGCAATGTCTGCTCAGGAACAAAACTACCACAACTGATTTAAAAAAAAAAAAACAACATCAAATTGTCTGTATGGCAAATTGTTTGGCTACTAATGAAATGGTTTCTCAGATCTAAGAGGGAAGAGAAACCATTCTATCACTGGGAAATTTGTACCCTCTAACAGAATTACTGTTCTTTCTACATACCAGTGAATGTCACACAGGCTAATTAATATTTCTAATCAGTACAACTTTACATTGGTCAAAACCAATAAATATATGCAAATAAAAAAAAGCTATCATACCAGGAAGAGTTATGAAGTAAGCAGTAGTAACAAAAATAAAAATCCTCCCTTTCATAGACATTTGCACTGCCCCAGAGAAAGATAAAAGATCAAAGTGCACTGTATTTTAATGACATTTGAAAGATTATGAGTAGACTGCTTATGAAGGTGATAAGAATTGAAAATGATAAGAACTGAAAACATTTTTTTTTGTGCAGAACTAGAATTGATGGATCTTTCGGAGCACAGGGCTACTCCAAACTGCACTTCTGCCTCTCACTTCTATCCAACCCAGTTTCCTACTCTCAATGTCAAATATATTTACAAAAAAGAACCATACAATTATTTTCCAGTTACATATCCTGTGTGAGCTCTTTCAATACACAAGTACACTCACAAAGTCCACAGCAGGCAAAAAAGACCCTGCCACAGATATGGTTAAGAGCCCTGAAACTTGACCCAGTTAATGAAATCCCAAGAGCAGAAGAGCAGCGTGGAGCAAAAAGAGAGAAAAAAAGAATAAAAAACAAAACCAGAACTCAATAGATCTGCACAAAAAAAAGCATTTATTTGGCCATACAGGTTTACTCAGCATGTAGAGCACATACCTGGAGTGGCCAGTTTGAAGGCATAACTGGAAACTGTGAAGGGTTCTAGCAGCTCAAACTATGCCACACTAACCTGAAAATAGCTGATTTGGAACCAGGAGCTAACTTGAAGACATGAAATACATGAAAGTGTAGAGTGACACACAGCTAGAACAACTCTTGTTACTTCAGTCTCATCCAAAGATCAAGAACAAGACAAACACTGTAGTTATAGTGGGTGTAATTACTGACAGGTCCTACAACAATAGCAGAGAAAGAAGTCCGCAAAGGCCCCACACTGTAGGGAAGGCCAGCACTGTTGAAGCTGTGCACCTCCATTCAGGTGATCGAAATGCAGGGAAAGATGACAAGTCAAAGTGAAAAAGCAGCTTCAGCCTGAACTGCAAGCAGTCTCTTGCAACTGGCACAACCCAGAGGCCTGCCACAGCAGAAGCCAGCAGAGCTCTGCTCAGCCTGGAGCCTCTGCAGGGCACGCAGCTCTGACCCAGTGCAAGAGAGCTTCAGTATATTAACATAACGATTTCCAGACAGCTTAGAAATTCAGCTCACTTAGAATAGATTTAAGCACTTAATCTGAATACAGATACTGGTGAGCAAGCAATTCTTAGAAGAATAAATAATCCTGAATATGGTGAATGCAATCTGGATACTTGGCATACAGTAACATCTACCTTAGCAGGTTAATCAGACTGCCTGATGATATTTCCTGCTAATGAAGATGTAATAGAAGAGTCTGATGGTTTCTGAAGAGCACAGTTAAAAAAGCCAAAATATCTTTAGGTCCTGAAACAAAAACATCTTTTAGATTTCTTACAAAGTTCACCCTATTTCCTTAAAAAAAATAATGACAGTAAAATATATGACATGACTTTGATGGAACATAAGATTTCCTACAATGAGAATAGTTGTGTAAAATTTACATTTCAATGGATGAAGTTACTGGATTAGATTTTACATTTCAACTGGCTGTGCTACATAATATTAATGGAAAACTGTTTGTTACATATTATTCAAATGGCCATATTTTTATATGGATAGAAAGACTTCAGTATTCTTACTCTGCCTGGCTCCTGCATCTTTTTTTTCCCTTATCTACAGAGAAAAGTAAACATTGTAATTCCTAATTTTTCCTCTGAGAAATGGAGATTGGGACTCTCTCATCTTTAAATGGTCAAATATGCCTAGTTTTGCTGCATGTAAAAAACAAAGAACCGCTTTGATTTAATCTGTTCTGATAAAATCCAAATAATCTGAATGAAATTATAATGTAGGAGTTGAGATGTATGCTTTTCCCTCCACTTGTAACATTCTTTTTGAAAGTAAAATAAATGCAGATCTATTTCTTCCCTTTATGCTCATTATTCTAGCATTTTAATTTCAGTTCTTACTGAACTCAGAGAAACTGAAAATAGTGAACAGAAGAGAGAACACAGCTAAGACGACTGCAAGAGTATCTCACATAGTTTATAAGGAATCAGGAAAAGAAAGGAAATTAACACACTGTATAGTTACAGATAACCTCAAGTACTAAAACATTCTCAAGTGGAATAGTTCGACATATTACAGACTGTATTGCAAAATGAAATCTATTTATATATATATAAATGCATCTCTCACTCTGAGGTCTGAAATTTTCTAAATAATACAAAAATATTTTCATTATTTGACATTTAAACAAAGGAATAAGAATCCCTGAGTAAGCCAAAGACAACTGATATGTATGGCCTCAGAAAACACTCAAACCAAGACTTGATTTTAAGGCAGCTTCCAACCTGCAGATAAAACAGAACTAGAACAGTGATGTGTTACAGAAGAAGAAATCTAATTAGCAGGTGCATTTGCATTGAGAATAGCATTTGAACTTTACTTCTAAATGTCATTGCTTCCCAGCTTAATTAACACATCTTACAAAGGTACTATTTCAACTGACAGGACAACAGGGTTAACACGCCCTTAAATTCAAACAAAAAATTAAGTTGTTGTTTGTTACAGTATGCTTGTGTTCATGGTTTCAACAAGGGGAAAAAAAAGAACAAGGAAATAAAACCAGAAGCTGTCTGAAAAGATACATACTAGCCAACTATGGTAAGTTGATATTTGTGTTTCCAAGTAAACAGAATTCATCAGTTCTTCCACTGAAGCTTTGAAGTCAGAGTGAGTATCTTATGATAACAGAGTATTATTTTGGTGGGGAAGTGGACTGTTTACTTAAAAGTTACAACTAGATTCAGGTGTAATAACTTTTGGAGAAGGAGGTACAAAGTAAACCCTCTCAAAAGATACACTATTTCTGAGTGTTAATTTTGAGGTCTGTAGACTTAGGGCACTGATCATCTCCCTTTCCCTTCTCCCACATAAATATGCATCTATATATACACACATATACGTGTCTTCAAACATTCAAAAAGTACCTCCACACCACAAATCTAATCTTCAAGATCACAGCTCTTTTTAATATAAGTAGGTATTCTTCTAATTTTCTCACTTTGGTGTATCACTGTTAATACAACTTCGTTATTTTCTTTTAAATTGTATTTGTATGATACATTTAGATTATAACTAGAAATGAAAAACTGAGTCTCAACTCCAAATTACACTGCCCTTGTAGTGATGTGATGAGAAAGAAGTCCAGTGATGAACAGAGGTACTCTGAAGTTCAGGAATAAAGGCCATGGATTGCTATTCTCTTCAGATCTGTTACACACCAGGAACAGTGACACTGGAAGTAGAGAATAAGAATGAAATGGTCTCCTAATAATTAACAGTCACTTCCTTTAACCAGAATTTATAAATCTTCTTCATGAAACACCAGTGGATGCTCGAAGACTTATGTAGGCTACTTACAAAGCAAATGTACATGCTATTTAGGTTATAGGATTTCATTAAGTCAATCTTTCACACACACCTAGTGTGTAGACTATGTACTATATGCTAGTTCAGAACAGAAGAACAGGTTTCCAGCTTCTCTTCAAATTCATTTCCCTGTATGTTCTGTGTCACATTTCAGTGGATATCAATGGCCTGTTCTGTCTCAAGTTACTTGTTATCTAAACCCTTGAAATCTTTCTTGTACTGAGTGAGGTTCAAAATGCTGTACTCCTCTGGCAAACTCGCCAGTTTCTAATCAATATTAATGGACTTGCAAAAATTAAATACAAAAGGAAAACCAACTACAATATTTGTAAGTATCATGAAGTTTCAGTAATAGTAAGAATATTTCTGAGGCACTGTTATTTGGCTGTGGCAATCCATGCTGCACAATTGCAATCTAAACTCTTGCTCTCTAGTAGGACAACTCAGAAGATAACCAGCTGTCATATTCTGGCATGTGATGGGGTTTTGGTATGCTGAACAGAATGCTGTGTGATGGAAGCTATTTACAGAAGTAGTATTTAATACCAAAAGTAGTATGCTCAGTATACAGTAAGAGTCCAAACACTTCTAAGCATTTCCCCCTTAAAGGCGAACACTGAAGTTAAACGGAACATGTTAGCAGTTAAATGATTTCTTCACAGGCCAAATCGGTAGTAGAGTTGTGGCTAAAATACAGACTTTGATTGTCTAGTTCAGGAACTTAGACTTAAATCTTTCAAAAAACCCCTTCAAAGTAATAATAATAGAAAAAAATATTTTAAAAGCAGCAGTCAGGGGGCCCATCCTGTTCAGAGTGCACCAGAGCAAAGAGGGTTTCTGGTCTGCAGTAGTGTTTCAGGTGAGAGAAGATGCAGGAGATCCCCCACTCTTCTTCCAGGGCGATGGCTGTGATGCCGTTACCAGCACTGTATTGCTCTGTTGCACAAACCGTGTATGGTCCTTTGCAGGACCAGCTCAGTTCAGTGAGTATGGCCCATCCTTACCAGGGCATACCTGTCCGTGACCTCTTCCTCTGCTTTTTACAAAGGCAATAGATAGGAAACACAAATAAACCTGTCAAAATAAGAAAATAAGAAAAAAGGCATCAAAAAAATGCACCGTGTTCTTTCTTTATACATAGAGAGTACTAAGACACAGCTCTAGATGTCTCAAGAAGGTTTAGAGCAGCAATTTGGACAAGCAGATAAAAAACCTAGCCTGCAACAGTCCCTTTGGCAATCAGTTAAGTTACACTTCCTCTGTTTTGCTTAAAAAATTAGAAGAGGTTCTGTCTCAAAAAAAAAAAAAAGGAAAAGTACCTCCTTTCTCTTACCACCAGCAGACTGAAAATGTGCAGATTTACTTCCCAAATACCACTACAGTAATAACAAATTCCAAAAAGCTACTTTTGCAACATCCTTGTTTTGCTGAACCTCCTTGTAACTGGTGTAAAATGGTTAAGTATGATATTGAGATTACTTTAACAGTTGTTGGCTATAAATATTGTTGCAATCACCTCAGAACCAAAACTTTCTTATAAATAATATTTTTGGAACTACTCAAGCTGCTTTTCCTGATTGCCTCTTATCTGGCTATGCCAAGGATGGGACTTTAACAGCAGACTGGTTATTACTGCTCCTGCATTAGAACAGTTTTGCAGTAATATAATTTCTAAGTAATAATTTTAATTTTTTCCCCAGTGTGTATTATCTCAGATCACTAGAGCAAAATACACTTTACTGGCATTAGAAGTATTACCAAAATAATATTTTTATTGTTATGGCTTATTTCTAAAGCAGACATTACTAAAGCAGGGCAAAGAGTACACTTGCTAGAGTAACTGTATTCACAATAAATACAACCACATTAACAGAGCTTTGAAACTATATCACACTAGTTTATGGTACATCTTTTTGTGATGGAATTCGATTTGGCAGTCTATGCATTAAATCAGACTGAGATTGACTCAGCCTAATTCACTGTTTTTTTTTTTCCCTTACTGCTGTTGCATAATCAAGATGGAGGGATGCTGGGACAATAGCTGGCGCCTCCAAAATTTTGCCATGCATATGGCCAAGATATTAGAACTGTGATCCACTGAGGTGACGAAAGGGAGGGCACAAGTTAGACTGCTCAAGCCCTTTTGGTATTTTAACTATGTTAAAGATTTAGTATCGAAAAAGCTTTAAATAATTGAAAAATATGAAATAAAGCTAATAGGCATGAAATGCAAGGAAGAAAGATTCTAAAGACAAGTCATTAAAAAAAAAAAAAAAAGCATGTGCTCCATACTAGAAACGTATCTAAGAAGTCTGTCTCATCTAAGACTGTCTTTTAGAGATTAACATCTCAGTAGGTTTAAGTCATACAGAAAATCACAGCAAAATCCAACCCAATTATTTACGTTATTCTTACCTACTACAACAGCTACGGCTCCCAGTGCCAGTCCCAGAATCAGTATTAGGGGTGTAATGAGTAGCTTTCCAGCTGAAACAGATAATTCACAAACAATTCAAATTAAGCATTCTATTTTTCCCTTTTGAGTAAACCACAAATATTTGTATATCTGACCTCTCACAAGAGCCAGTTTATTATTTTTTATACTTACTAGGATCCCTACTTGTAAAGTCACTGTACAAATTCAGACAGGAGCTATCTACATATTTCTCTCTGCTCTCTTCACCCACTACAACTGAGCACACCTCATTTTGTACATTAACAGTTAACTTGCATTTACTTCTATTCTGGAATCCCTTAGGCACTGTGACAGAAACATGATGGATATCAAGCTACCATCTTTTGGCACCTCCAACACTCTACAAGGACAACAACCCCAGAAAGAAGCTAAGCAAACCAACATCTTCAAGAGCTTAGATTGGCTCAAGGTGATGAGATCAGCTGTTTTCTACAGATGTTTTTGTAGGCTTTAAAAAGCTGTGGTGGAGCCCTTGCATACATTGTGATTTATGCCTAAATCAAAACACAGCCAACTGTTTGGAACCATATTGCTGCTCTTACACAAACAAGGTACATAAGACTAAGAGCAAAAGAAGCATGTTCACGTTCATAACTTTGAGTTTATAATCTGTAGAACTGCAGGGAAGCAAGGCAGGGTACCCTCCAAAACACCAAAGTCAAAGCTGAACTTTGAATCCAAATTATTTTTCTTGTGTTTAATACTTTCAATTGAACAGCAGAATCTCTCACTGAGTTGGCTGGATAGCTATTTCAAAGAAGTCAGTTGCCTCAGAAGTGTGAAAACACAGCAGGGTAGGCATGCTTACTAATGTACCAGCTGTTTCAACACAGATTTGAAATTAAGCAATTCTCTACATTAAGTATGTGTTTGAAAGATTACCTCTGGGAAGAGAGGAAAAGTGAGTTCATTATCTCTCTCTTCTCTGCCCTTCTCTCTCTCAAGCCACTTGTATCAGATTTCAATAAATGGATTACTTCATTCAACAATGATGTAAATCTCTCCATAACCTTAGCCACTAATTTGGGCAGCAGAAAGGAAAAATGAGATATTTTGGAAGCATTTGCAGTGCTTAAATGAATCAGTCCTTTTCACGCTTTTCTTTTGATAGCTTTTAAATTTCACAGGAGTGTTGTGAGTAGGAAACATTAATTCCTAGAAGAAAAAGTTGGCAAGTATTGTTGGTATTACTCTAGTTGCTAGGCACCCTAATGGCAGACCTTCCTGAGATTCCACTGCACTGCATTCTGTAAACACAGAAGTTGTCATTGCCTTAAATAAGTTATTCAAGTATGGGAAGGAAAAGGAATGTAGAGTGATGAAAAAACATCAAGAAAAAAAAAAAGAGTGACTAAAACCGTTTTTAAAATTACCGGAGCCTTAACAACTTTGAAGTAAAGCTTACAAAATTCTGTTTTGAATATAAGCTTTCCATGTGCTAATAATCATATAATTTGAATGTTAGAAGATTGTGGCATGTTAGGTACAAAAACTACTAAGCTTATCTACTGAATTGGTGATTAAGTACACACCAGCAGAATCTGCAGAATGGTTAAGCTGTTTTGTTTTTTTTAAACCAGAGTCACTTCTTTGCCCACATAAAGAATGTTTTCGAAGCTAATTCTGTTTAAGAACTTGTTTATTTACATTTGACAAACTAACTTAAAGCAGCAATAAAACATGAATGTTTGTCTTTTCCCTTCTGCCTGCGAATATGAAGCTGAGTACTGTGTAGTTTATTAGTTACAAGATCTTACAGGATAGAGACATTTCATCATCATGGGACAACCAGTTCGCTAACCCTATCTCCTTTTATTTATCAGTGCATTCTTCCTAAAGGTTACACTTCAAAAATGAAACAAAATTCCTTTTCTATTTAGATATCTATTACAATTAAGTCCTTAATTTTAATTTTTACAAAGGTGAAGATAAAAGAACAAGTTAACATAAGTTAAGCAAGGCACAAATCACTATTGGTTAGGAGTATACGCATCACCACCGAAGCAGCAGATACCTATCTTTTACTCTAATCTTCTATTAAGATGGCATGAAACAAATACGTAAAATACTCTGTTTTGTATGTCTAAATTGCTTTCTATTCAAATGCAGTTTGACATATACCATTCACTACTGTGTGAAGGACTATGAGGCTCAGAGAGAGTTATGACACACTAAGAAATGCTGTTGAGTCTACAGATGTTTGTTACAGTCACTAGATTTCCGAGAATTTGTTGTCTTATTTCTGCTAGTAATCTTGGAGCTACCAAAGAGCAAATGTAAACCTTGTCCAAGAGTGGAATAAAAACCTTTGCCTGTCTAGGTTATGATAGTCATTTCTGGTAATGCCCAAAGTTAGTTTTTAAGGATAATTACATACATTGTTGCAAGTAAAAGAAGCCTAAAAAAAAAAAAAGGAACATCTAAAAATTTCTGATCAATATAATAGCAGACAATTTACCTACAGACTTTCTCAACATGAAGATTTAGTTATTCATAGTAAAGTAGTAACCGTATTTGCAAGTACTTTGGAGAAGTTTCATTAGTTTTGATATACAGAATCTGATTCTTCTGCAAAGAAGGGAAAAAAATATTTCACTAAATATTTCTTTTGCATAACTTTGGTTTGGCTGTGGGTTTTTTTTTTGTTTGTTTGTTTTTAAGGGGGGTTAATATTTACAAATCTCATAAATCATTAGAGAATTCTGCGACATTCTAAGAAATTCATATACTAGCTTTAGAAAACAAATTCAGTCACTTAGGATATGGAAAAATGGTCTACTTGTGTGTATGTAATTAAGCAGACATTACAAGTGTCTACTTACAAATCTGAACAGTCACATCTACATAATTTAAATGCTAATACAAGTTTCCATCTCTGTGCATAGGCGACAAGTTTACAATGAAGACTGGATCCTCAAAATGCATGCTTCCTTCCACAGTGCTCAAAACCATGCATAAAGTGCATCTTGCACTCCATGCTGGGACAGCAGTATGCATCAATCGGATATAAAAGTGTGCTGCTTCTACAATCCTGTTTGAGATACTACTCACCACACACAGAATTTCTTGTTTAATTACATCTTGTGTCTTGTGTATCCATGTAGTTAGCATGTAGCAATTTATTTTGAACACGATTCACCCAATTCAAGTGGCACTTAAACAGCATCTTAGATGTAAGACAGCTAAATGTTGTTTTTCCTTCCTGTGGTCAATAACCAAACCAACACAAATCAATTCATCACTAACTCAAGTTGCAACCAAACATTTTGCTTCCAACAACTGAACCAAAAGGAATCTAGTTAGCACAAGGATGAAATCTCCAGATCAGCTTTCTATCCTAACAGTCCTAGCAACGTCATCTTTCAGTACTGGCTGCAGGACAAAGTTCCTCTAAAGAATAAGCTCTCCAGCGTTTCATTCCCCAGTCTGTATGTATAGTCAGGGTACAGAATATATTTGATTATATTTAACTTCATGCAGTTTGGTCATTGCCCAGCTCTCTAATTTGTCATAGCTGGCTAAGGTGGGGAGAGAAGCGACATCAAGAAAAAGCAATCATTTCTGCTTCCAGGATATTTTCTTCTGGTTTCTAACACCTTTACAAAACCATTTGTTTTCAAAGAAAAATATGTTGAAATTTATGCGGCAATATTTTTATTACAGAACAGTCTGTGACAGTATACACAAACATTTACTGCTTGACAGAAAATGACAGCATGCCAATCCGCTAAGAAATGTTCAATGGATTACATCTACCCAGATTTACTAGAAACAAGCCAAAGAACCTTCTCTGTTCAGACTACAAAACCACCACATTTACTTAAATAATTATTTCCTCTCCATAGTAAGAGAATAAAATGCATCAGAAAAAGCATCTAGCAACACATTACGTCTCCTACTGGCATTGAAGACAGTGTTCTCTTAATTCCCACTACTTAGCCAAGTAGCAGTGACATTTCACTACAGTAAATCTTTTTTTTTTTTTAAATATTCTACATGCTACTAAAATTAAGAGACCTGTTTTTAATGGCCTGCTTCTCTGCTACAGCCTCCTCTTTCTGCTGACTTTCAGAACAGAATCAGAGCTCAGTCTTGCACTGTGACACCTAATGACAAAGACTTAATGTATTTACATTTAGAGCTACAAGTCCAGCTAGAGATGACAGAAGGATTTAGGGTCACGAGTATCAATGTAGAATTCTTTGAATCATTATGGATTTGGGTGTTAACAAGCAAAGATAAAAATTACAGCCAACAAATACATTCCCTGGCAGGTTCAGCTCTATTAAAGTGATGAACGTTGCTGTAGGAAATAACTCAATGACAGCACAGGAAAGAACCCCCCAGAGAAATCTGGACTGAAGATTTGAGCTTCAATAATCTTTTTTGGCTTACAAATTAAGGCAAACCACAAGCATACTTAAAAAATGGAAATGAAAGCAAAATATCTTATGCCTTCTCTATGCACACTTTTATAATTATGAACATACATATTTTTACCAATGAATTTTAACTGTTATATGTGCTTCCACATTTCATTACTACCTCCAAGTCACTGTTTGCATATAAACTAATTCTCTTTTAGACCAGTAATAGTTGTTTCTTTTTGAAAAGGAAATGACAAGTTTTACTATTTCCTAAAACAAAAAACACACAACAAGAAACAGGAGAACATAATTTTAAAATTAGCATTATGCACATTCATTAAAAAATATCAACTGCTTGTTTTATGTGTAAGGCATTCGAAAAATTAAGACATCAATCATGTAGTGTTTGGTAATATAATTTTCATGCAATTTTAATATAAACAAAATACTCACTTATGTTTTTATCTGCATCAAAAAAAAAAAGTTTAATCTTGGGATAACATTACCCATGATTGTACACTTGAATAACAAAGAACATGTGATGTCCCTGAGCTCAGTCCCTTGCCATCACAGCAAAGCTGTTTATATTGCGGTTGCTTTTACTGAAAGTCTTCCTGAAACAGAATAGCCCTTAAATTTTAAGCCTACATTTATTCATGAACAGTAGTGCCAGCATTGTCTTTAATCTTTAATAGAACTTCTCATGTGCTGGAATTACACTCTAGAAAATGCAACAGTGAAAATATCCAAGTGTTTTGAATTTGTATCCATTTTCCTATTTATTTCCGTATCTTTAATTCTCTCTTACAAAGTTTGTTCAAAAACTTCACAAGTTTCTGAAGTCAAACTAATGAGGACTGGATTATTTACTGACATTCATTATAAATATATTGCAGGTTTCTTAGTTTTTTGTTTTTTTTTTTTACAACTTTGCAGATCAGCTAACAATTCCTCTTACCAGGCCTATGAGTCCCGTGTCAACTCCTATGCTACTCTAAAATGGAAGTCACCTAGTATTTTCACTGGAAAATATTTGGCTCAGGAGTACTGTTTTCACCACAGGTCTGCTGACTTCTACTTCCATACATTCAGACTCTTGCTTTTACCTCTATATTTGACATCAGCCAACTTGTAAGCTGAAAGCGTTTCCTCATCTGAGGTGAATTCCACGTTTGTTTTTTTTTTCAATTCCTGTGCCTTAATTCACAGTTCAGAACATCCTATTTTCTTAATAGGTTTCTAGTTTTTAACACCTAATAGAACTATTCCCTATCATGTTACAGATAGCTTTACATGATACAAACTAACTACAATTACTCAACTTAATGCATACATAAGATAACAAATAAGCTAAGAATTTATTTTCTTGTGCTTATGTAAGTTGAGACAGGTATATTAGTTCAAACCAAATCAAGACTACCTTTAAAAAAATCACAATATTCCCTTGAGATAAATTAATTTATATAGTCGCATTTTAAGTTCAATCTTTTTTTCAGACCCAAAGCTAACAGCTAAAAGGTAAGTGCCCTCCTGTATATACATAAGGAGAACAGGCTTGAATGCTTTGGTTATCAAAACAAGGTCAGGTTCAAATCCAAATGATGATTTATTCAGGCAAATCTTTCACTCAGAGGTTCATCTAAAAAGATCCCTGCTCTGACTCATTTCTCCTACATGTTTTAAGAAGAATGACATAAGACCCTACAAATGCATATTGACAGTTTCACACCTTTCTGTTAGTGAAATCATAGATATCTACTTTCTATTAGAAGAGCTACTGAGGACCAAACTAATTAGCAGTCATCAACTGGTAGCAAGAAACAAAACTTCAGACAAGACCTGAAAACTTTAGTCCATGGAAAATGTAGGATTTCAGATGCTTCCTTCTCTCCTCTGCTCCTATTTGACAGCTCAGATATCCTTCAGTTCAGTACATAAATCCACTTTTGGGAACAATCATCCCAAGTGTTGTACAGGCACACTCCAATCTAGACATGTAACTGAGATGCCAGACTGCACTGTATCAGTCACCAAACCTTGTGCTATTGCCTTTGTTCGGCTACAAACAACTCATCCAATGAATCTATGTTTCTGCTGCTAGATGACCTGGTATTGCTTTCACAGCATGCTTGAGCAAGTGCTTCTTGATTTGCACATTAGCAGAAAGAAATACAGACTGACAGAGGTAGCTGTACGATATGAGAAAGTAGAAATATGAAATTTTAAGGTAAAACTGAACAAAGTTGTTTCACTGAAAGAACTTCATGTGAAACTACAGTGTGGCAGTTTCACAGCTGCAACACGTGAGAAGGTCTATTTAGGAATCTGAAGTCACTACAAGTTAATCAGAAGCAAACTGAATTTTCAATAGAATTAAAGTTATTCTTTAAGGCTAGCCTATTGTTGAGACACATTTTTGTCAGTTTGCCTGGGTAGATTTACAGTTTGCTTAAATACTATGAAAAAATGTTAAGAAATGCAAGCTACCAAAAGAGGACACAGACATAACCACACATAATCCATACTAATCCATGCTCATGAAAGTGACTCCAAATGTTTTCTAATATACTTAGTAAATCATTTTTTACATAGCTAAAAAATAGGCTGCTCATCCTGCACTTTAAACCTATACACACACATACATTTAAGATACTGATACCCCACCTGCCTCAATCATCTCTTTATGCAGCTCTCTACAAAGTGCATTTATCCACTCACCACAGACAGAGCCTCGCACTAGTCTCCTCAAGTGTGGTCTCTCGGGGAGGTAGCGGTATTTGCATCCAAAGATACTGAGGTTTGATGTGTGATCTCCAAAGAAACGGAGCTGGCGGTATCTCTCCCCACAGCGGTAACAGAAATTAGTGTTACACTGGGAACAGGTCATGTGGTCACACCCTTCTGTTCTCTGGATGTGGATCTTTAGGAACAGAAGGAAAAAGAAAAGATTATTTTTAACCCCAGAAGTGAAGGAAAGCAAGCAGTACTCCAACGCAGCCCACATGCAGCAGATGAGAAGATACTGCAAGCAGCCCACCGTGGAACTCAGCATCTGCATTAAATGATACAGCAGCTGTGCTAAGTCAGCTCTGTTTTTTTAAGGCATGCTTCAGATCAAACATGAGTTACAGCTGTTTCCAGTCTTTTACGTAAGAAATGCCTTCCTACGTCATTCTTCCCCTTCATTTAAACAGCCACTGTCTCAGAAGATCCTTTACTTAAGATGAAAACTTGTTTTTATTACTCAAGTAGACAAATTAGCATCAAATTTTATTAGAAGAGAAAGCAGCACAGTAAATATAGTTATGAACTCTGTATGACCCCTCCATAGATGGGTTTCCCTCTCACAGCACCTGTGGCCCTACTCTGTTTCTCATTATACCACAAATTGATTTGGCATTTTGTAATAAGCACCAAAAAGGCTCTGCTGTAGAAAGAGGAACTTGGAAAGCATGGGATGTTGGTTGTTTGTTTGTTTTGTTTTTAACTGTTTGAAAGAAAGATTCCAAAAAAAAAAATCTATGAAAAAATACGATAAACTTTTACGATGCCTACATCATTAAGGTGAGCTGCCTAGGCTCTGCTTCTACCTTTCCCAATCATTTTCTGCATGAAATAGCTTGTTTACTATTTCTTTATCTCCATATACTCTTCTGCATTTACTTACTTTGCACACATTTAAAGGATTCAATTTCAGTTAATAGTTCCAAGAAACTTAGAAGTAGCTGTGTAATCATTGTTGCTGTGCATAATGTGATAGAATGAAACATATTCCCCTAGACTGCCTCTCTTTTTAATCTTGCCAACTAAAATCATTGCTAATGGGGTGGTGGTAAACAAGCTTTTCCTATCTCACAAAATGGATAAATAGCACCACCCCACACACACGCTCCATAATGCAACAACAGATAAAATTTCACAGTAACTGTGGTTGGAAGTAATCAGAGGTTATCTATTTTAATCCTTAGCTCAGCACTGGTCTAACTTCAAAGGCAGACCAGACTGGTTCAAGCCTTGTCTCACCCAGTATGGGTATGTTGCTCAAAGACTAGTACTTGTTCCAGACCCTCCCTGGGAATAGTCTTCACTCCTTACATCTTTCTTGCTGAAACTCATGATGATTCCTCCTTAATTTCTTATCCATATCAACCCATATTTATTTTGCAGAGAGGTACAGGTATAGACATCACCACTTAATGGCCCTGCAAGCACCACAGGTGATGAAAGCTCAGGTGCAACTGAAGCCTCTAACCTCAAGAGAGGTTTGCAGCTTCTGGGGTATCTGACACCCCCTAGAGGGTCAATAGTGGTACCGATCAAGCTTCATCTAGAACCTAAGAAATTCCTTCCACCTCAACCTGCTGCTGAAACTGGTATTCTACATAGGTAACAAGCTGACATTTTCTACTGGCACGTCTTTCAGCAAAAGACTGCGGGGCAGACATAGCCAGAAGTCACTCCAGATAGGTGTGCCAACATCACTGTGCCAATGAATGCAATCTCAAGATTTCTGCACTTTCAAACACTTCCTTTATGAATAAAACAGGAAAGATATTCACAAAAACTGACTGTGCTATAAAAAGTCACACCCTGGCAGAAAGTAGATTTCATCCAATAGAAGGGATGCAAGTAGGCTGACTATACAATCATCCCCCTCTATTCTGAAAAAGCCCAACATGATTTGTTTCTATCATTCCTTTACTTGCATGACAGGTTCCCTGTTTTTCACAAGTACCTGAAAAAACACCATTGCTGATGAGCTTTATAAGCTGCTTGACTTCAAAGCTCTCACTTTTAAGCACTTACTTCAAATAAACTGGAAGAAAATCTACTCAGTTATACCAATTTAATTTTTGAAGTTACACATGGTGCTTTTTTAAAAAAAAAGTCAATTTGACTTTCTCCTACTTTTCAGGCTTTATATGAAAAACATTAACCACATTCATTGAACCATAGTCTAAGTTATTAACCTCAACGGAAACTGAGAAATGATCTATGCTATCTCCAAGCAGCATATAACAAGTTTAGAAAAACCTCTCTAAAAAAAAAAGCAACATGTCAAAAATTAATTTAAGATACAGAGCCCTTTTTACTATTTGCATACTTAAATATACTCACACACAGAACACTTAAGTATTTCGTATGTAACACTTCATTCTGTAAGAGTATCTTGCAGAGAACAGGTAAAATATAAGCTATTCCTATCAGGTGTGTTAAAGCTGCATCCAACTACTGTGAAAAGTAATCAGGCTTAAGCTCATTTAACAGTGGCTGATAGTACTCACATTATGAAGGATCAAACATGTTCAAAGCTTTTACCAAAAAAACACTGAAAAACGTGTGAATACTTGCTTAAGGATTTGCTTATATACAGTCCCTCCACCCATAGAGTATTCCTGTTTTCTCAGCTGCATGCCCAGACATGATAATCATGGAGAAATAAAAACCATGATATAGCTAGCAAAAAGAAGTTGTGTGTCTATATATTTACATACACAGAAGTGTATCTCCAGAAGATATCTGTGAAATACTATGACAATTTATGAGACTAATCAGAACAATATCTTCTAGGTTACCAATAGCTTTAGAAGCCTGCTCAGTAAAGAATGCCCACCTTATTAAAGTTTCTGTCTTTAGATTCCAATAGCTTTAGTTTCACAGTAAAGACCAAATACTCAACACTCAATTTTACTTCTTTTTCTGAAAATTTTTCACTTTTGGTTTGTTATCCCTATGTACTTTTTAAATGCACTTTTTAAAAATACACAATATCTGATTAAGAAAAAACAAAGCCGCTATTTTAACCACCAACTAAGTGGTTTTCTTGATTTGCTAGTTACAGATTTGATTTAAAAAACAGTATGTTGATATCAAGAACTGTTGATATAAACTTTTCAGAGGTTGTGAACAGGAAGAACTTTCTCCATTTCTGAAGAAAAATACCAGGAGAAGTTGGTTACAGTTTATGAAAAGACTGAACTCCTTCTCAGCTATTCATTTATAATATCACATTATCAGAAATAATTTTAAAATTATTTTTGTGCTAATTCTGTAACTTTCCATGCTTTCTTCCACCATACAGTTTTTATTTACTTTTTTTTTTTCCTGTGTTAAATCAAATGAAATCTGGAATATTTTAGAAATCAACAGCCCAATTCAAGCAATTAGAGACTTAACTGCCTCTACAACCACCTGAAGGGAGGTTCTAGTGAGGTGGTGTTGGCCTCTTCTCCTATGTAACCAGCAACAGGACTAGAGGGAATGGCCTCAAGTTGCATTAGGGGAGATTCAGATTAGATACTAGGAAATACCTCTCTGAGAGCATGGTCAGGTACTGGTACAGGCTGCCCAGGAAGGTGGTGGAGTCACTGTTCCTGGAGGTATTCAAGAAATGTTTAGATGTTGTACTGAGGGACTAGGTTTAGTGGGAAATACTGCTGACAGCTGAACAGTTGTACTGGATGATCTTAGGGGTCTTTTCCAACCTTGGTGAGTCCACAATTGTAAGTATACAGTCTTCTCTTTCAAATGCACCAAAAATAGTCACACACATCATGTTTTGGAAATTAAAGGCAGGCAGCCTTTGTTCTTTTCTTCCCAGCTAGTAGCCCTCCTCTACCTCCTCTTCCACATTCATACTTTTTGATTTAATACATTATATTCTCCTTTATTTCATGTGACTTACTTCAATAGAAACAACATATGTGTTGTTTAGGAAATCAATCTGGACACGAGTCAAAGAATTAAAACCAAAATAAGATACTTCTGTCCACTCCAGAAGGAAGTTTGTAAAAAGATGTTACTATAAGACTTCCCAGAAACTGAACATTTTTAGAACTGGCTCAAACCTATTATATCTAAGCAAATGGCAGTTGCTAAAACTCAATGTCACATGTATGTAAGAGAAAGGTTAAACAAATGACCACAGATTTCACAGCTTTACTAATTTTTCTTTGTGCTTTGAAATCTTTCAAACTGTGGTACCACATTTATTTTCCCATTATCAAATTCAGAAGCTTAGCAAATTGAGAAGTATACCCTTATAGACATACAGCAAGGCTCCAAGTGCAACTAAGTATCTCCAGATTTTTAGTTCTTACTGTCAGCAGCTGCAGAGAACTGCTGAGGAAAAAAAGTGAACTGCCGTAACAAACACCTTTGTTAAGGGCAACTGGGGCAGGGGCATTGGGGGTTGTTCAAACTCATTCAAGTAGTTAGGCATCTATCCTGGAAAGACAAAAAATGACATTTTTAGGGCATGAGACTGCACTTCATTCTGTTGAAAGTACTTATGAGAAAGGGCTAAATGTCAGTCCTTTCACAGGCCTAAAGATCTTCTGGTTTGGACAAAACCAGCCTCCTAGTTAACTTGTCCTTAAGTACTTCCTGCTTTACTCCAACATCAAATTCACCCAACTCTTCCAAGCTCTCTGGAAAACCTGATGAACAGCATCATATTTTGCTAAAATTTTATATTTATTTAAAGCTTTGTTATAGGAATAATTCAGACTAACACATTCATTACAAGTTGAGACTCAAAATTTTCTTAATGTTTCTTTTAGATGTTAAGACTCTGTGAAACCAGTTCAGGGACTGGAAGTCCCATTTTTCTCTGCAGGTCAAAGGTAAGAATCTACACAGCAAGTGTGAATTTTGCTTCAAACCCAAAACAAGCTACAAATTTAGACTACATAAATACTTAAGCAATTTTAAGCTAACATCTGTGCATCCCTAGAATGCAACTTACCTTGCATTTTGGACACTTCTGAGCATTCCTCTGCCCGTGCTCAATCTCATTGGCCCAGTGACGCAACAGCTTGTCTCCCTTTTTGTACTCTTTGCAGTTAACACCTTCATGCCAGGGAGAGTGGCACTTGAAACACCAGACAAATTGGCAAGATGGACACTGGATCTGTACAAATGGGAAAACACACATTTACAAGCTATACACTGACCCAAATGGAAAGCATGTTTTAAAAATGCTGCTCTTAGTCAAAGAGTAATTGCCCAGCAATAAGGGCCTAATACCTTCTGCAACGTCCATTTTAAAAACAAATTCAATGAGTTATGCAACACAACACTGATTTCTTTTTTAAAATTATTTTTAAAGAGAAAAAAATATAGAATTATTAAAATCCAGGAAAGGCTCCAGTCAAGCAAAGCACAGATGAGTAGCTTGTCTTCCAAGATAATTCAGTTGTCTCAAACACACCTGTCACCAGGTAAACATCAGCAGCTAACTTTCACTGTGACAGGTCCCATTCTTCCAGATGGGAAGACATCCTACAACCTACAGACAACCTACACTCCCTAGCCTTCTAACAGAGGGGTCACAGTCCTCTTCTAGCAGGAACCTGGAGAACCCAGAATGGGTTATGAAGCTTCTATTAGAAACAGGCTGGGGAAAAGGGGCCAAGCGTGAGGACCCTTCTCTCCAGTCAAGTGCCCCTACCACCATTTTGATGCCAGACACCTCTGATCAGACATGAGCCAAACAGCACGCTTGTTAACAACCACAATAATGGCAGAAAAGGTAAGCCAAGCTCTTTACATTGATAGAGGATCTGCTTTTCCTGCTCACCTAGTTTTAAATCATTACAACAAACACACAATCATCGCACCTTCTTCTAGAGCTTGGCTATTACTTGTAAAATCTGCTGGAGCTGTGTTTGGTAGCACACTACAGATGTGTTTGGTAGCACACTATTTGAGCAGGGCTATGAATACATGGGGGAAGGCTGGGGAAGGCATAACCCTCATGCAACTACTCACTTCCACCAGTCCATCCACAGCCCATGCCTAACACAGCCCCTGCTCTATGCCAATGCACAGACTGGCCTGAGGAATTCAACCAAAACCAGCTTCTCAGCCACAGCTGTCTCCTGCCTCCAGCTCACCACAGACACGTGAGGAAAGGAAGGTCTCTCTTGGGGTATGGCCCAGGTGAAGCCCACAAAACATCTTTTGGAAGTTCTGGCTGCCCAGGCCCTCTGCTCAGATACACCAGCTGCATGCTACCTCAGCTCTGTTCTGAGGCCAAAGCTGGCACTCTGATCTGCCTCAAGTAGTTTGCCGCAGCACAGCCAGAATTATCGTTCATACATGCAGTTATTACATCCATTACTACTAGCAAGCTAATACAAAGCTGATCTGATCTCATAACGAGTGATTGAAACAAAGCTGTCTGCAGTCCTCAATGCTTCTTCCTAAGCCCTTTCTGCATAGGCTTTTTAAAAAAAAATATGGGAAAAATTGAAGGCAAAAACTTAAATGCTAATTGATACAATGGCTCTAGCTAGTACTTTTATGTCTCTACCTGGCCCACTGTTTAGTGGTTGCCTTTAGTTTTAATTGTACAAGACAAATGTTTCTACATTACAGCAGCATCTGAGAGCACAGCCTCATTTATGTGATGCAAAATATTTCTAGGTAGCACTGTTCAACCAACTTTTATCTTCATCTGATGTGATAAAGTATCATCATCCATATGATGTGCTGCTCAGCTCTGTGCACCACTTCTGCTTACCTCTTTAAGTCAATCTAAATCTACAGATCAGCAAGTGCAAGAATGTGAGTTCATGCTCAAAAGATTTAACAATTTTCTCACTGTATCTAAGATGGCATTTTCCCCTCCAGAATTCTTTATCTGTATGTATGGCTGAAGTGCAGATAAGGAAGACAACCTTGAGATGTAGCAGATTTTCTTCTTTTTACAAGATGTTTTAACATTTCAGTTGGTCACCATTTACTGGTCATTATTCCTCTTAAACAAAAGAGTATTTAGGTGCTAGAACACAGTTTTTTCCTTCATATCTAGCAGACAAAGCCAATGTAATTTAAAAACAGATGAAATAAAATCTAATATCCTGCATCCTGTACAAGTATGTCTTTGTGCTCATTATAGCAAGATAGGGTGGCATTTTTTCCACAGTAAACACTAAAATACTTAACAGAAAACTGTACTTACATGCTTTCTATCAATGAAATAAGTTGCCAGAAACACAGTTATGTAGCATACAAAACTTGTTTGCATTGAAACAACATGCTGAAGTTATAACAAGTACATTACAAACACTATTACTTTTTGTATGAAAATATGGTAATAGCCTATGGCCAGGACAAAGTATATAACAACCAACATACAAAATACAACCAGTGCCTTTTCTCAGATTCTTTGGTCTTCTGGCTAAGACTACATTAAAAAAAAAAAAATATATATATATATATATATATACATACATATATACACACAACACACACTATCCTGCTATCTTTGCTTAATTCCTCATAAAAACAGCATAAGAGGAAAGAGGAAAATCTCCATTCTGAAAAACCTAAAAAATTAAATATTTATTGCTACTAACCAAATTCATGCAGAGCACTATTTTATGTTTCCAGAATCCAACATGCATAACAGCCACCTTTGGTTACTACTTACTGCCCTGACCAATAACCCCAAAATATTCTTTGAGCATCATGTCTTCCCATAACATACATCACAGTGATCCACTGCTAGGAAGACATGATATAGCAGACACCGCACTGCGTTACTCAGTGTTTATTATGCCTCAGGCAAAGAATGACTTTGTATAGTCATAATTAAGTGTTTTACAACCTGGAAGCTTTTATTGGGTACAATATTCAGTCATTTGAGATGGAATCTGAATGAATCCATTTCAAACAAACCCACCATGCCAACAGATCTGGGAAGCTGCAAATAAGAACTGCTTACTTAAAAACCTGGTAACAATTTGAAACAAGTTTTTTTGCTGTTTTGTGTTTTGAACTTTCAACAAACATTTGTCATATGCTCTATTACAGCACACATGTAACTACAAGAAATGTAGCACATTGACATCAGATCTTTCCAAACACATTATTTAGAAAACACTGAAATAATGAGGCTGCAATCACAGGGTTGCAGAATACATTAATCAGTGACCCTGATTAAATGAACTAAAGGGATCTACTTCATGACAAGCTTTGGAGTTACCAGTTTCCTTTTTCACCTTCCACAAATCTGAATTAGTAAATGGATTTAACATTCTGAATGAGCCACTTGACTTCTCCCAGTCATTACATACCATCTGAACATACACGATGCAGACAAACAAAACAATGTTATTTTAAATACTATTAACCTTATTTTCTTGGAAGTAGTAGACAAAAAAAACCCTGAATGTATTCTAACTTGGATTCAGTGAACCAGCATGGAACATGCTCAGGAAATAGGAACAAAACAGGACAACTATGTCAGTCCTTCAGATTCTTACTCCATGCTTCCTCTGCTTTTCTGAGAATACCATCAGATGATTTGCCTTATGTTTAGTATTAGTACATAAATCATAATAAGGACTCAGAAATTCAGATAATTCAAAGCAATTAAAAATACAGTATAGTCCAGCAAAACAGACACTATTTCTGAAAAATGTTTTTCCAAATAGAAATCGTAAAATAAATGGAAAAGTTTATATTTCAGTTTATCAAAATTGAGAGGATACACACAAACTTATGACAGCTGAAGGTCAATCTCCCTTGAAATAGAAAAGATTACACAAGTTCTCAGATTAACCCTCTTGGTTCTCAACTTTCTCACACACTGATCTTTGAGGCTAACAATTTCCATTTTCTTAGACAGCCAGTGAAATTATTTAAACTTTCATTTCCTCACCTCCCAGGAAAAAAACATTTCAAAATTGGTAGGTAACAGCAATACAAAGCACTACTCACTATGACATGACGTTACCAAAACTAAATGCACATTAAAAATGTTCTGTGAACTTGAAGCTGCAGAAAGATTAATAGGATTCTCTGTACCTTAATAGAATGCTAGCTACACATTAGAGTGGCTGAAATAATTGTGCAGGTAACTGATTAGTTGAATAACAATATCTATCTACAGCTACACAGTTAATTCATTCCAAAATAAATACTGGCTACTGCCAAAACATTTGCTTCCTCCTCGTCATCAACCCATCCTCTTTCTTATACCAGCTGAAAATAAGCAACAACAAAACAAGTCTTGTATCCCATTGGAGCTGATCTTTGATCCAGCTCCCAGTGTGGCACCGAAACATCAATATGAACAAAAGCAAGTTGGCAGGAATGAACAGCTAAGAAGACAGAGGGAGTGCACAGCAAAATTACCATTTTATGAGCAGTTTAGGCTTAATGCTGACTGAAGTGATACGTAGCCATGAAAGTATCTGCAACTCAAGGTTCAAATTTGATCAGAAGTTGAAGAACTCACTAGTATCAGCTACACAGATCTATTCCATCACAATACTTCCACAATTACAGACACTTACAGACTCCTGACAGTTCTTTAGCAATAGAGTTTCAGAAACTTCTCAATAGTCCCAACAAAATATAGCATGTCAAAAAAAAAGCTTCACATTTCTGAAGTCAAACATACTTTTCACAGCAGCAACCAAGAAAACTTTGTTATGAACATCACAGACTAAGGCAGAAAGCCCAACAATCAAGACAGGTCAAAAAGCCAACTCTAAAAAGGTGAAACCTAAGGCTCATGAGTGGAAAAAAAAATAAACTCACAGTAAAAGCCAACATTCTCTAGTGAAACTCATCTGTTCCATCATAAGAGTTGAACTACCATTCTGTTGAATTGTTAGCACATTTTCTTCAGACCTTGGGCACACCAACTTTCACCAGAGGTTTATTAGAATCTTTTTTTTGATTGAGTCTTACATTCTCAATTTGATTCATAAGATAAAGGGCAGGAATCTTTCCTTACTTAGCCAGGATTCATGTGACATGAATACATGATGCAGGATACTAGATAGTTAATCTGCTGTATGGTGCTCTTCTAAGTGACACTAACAGGATAAAGAATGTTTTGATAGCCAGTTTTCCTTTTCTACCTTTCCTTCTCTGCCACCGTGTGCACAAGTTAACTTTCAAGGCTTACATTAAGACTTTGGTTTCTAAAATGAAGAGTAGCCAACACTGAACTGCTAGGCTTACATCAGTTTAGCTAACAAAACAGATATATCAAGGAAAAATATTCATGCTGATAACTTTTATCCTTCTTTAAATTTAGATGTCAGCTTTATTTATATTTTAAAATAGTAATTGTTAGTAAAGCCATTAATAACATTTTAAAAATATCTTTTCAAACATTATCTCAAGTTTTACAGTATCTTCCTGTCCCTGCATATAGTACAGCAAGGGTACTGAGAAGAGCCCTTCTGTGCAATGATCCTGACAGTACCTTTCTGCGTGGGTTTTCCCCATGCATGACTCTGTTCTTCTGAAAAGGCAGCACTTCCAGTGCTGGTGCTTCAGTTCAGAATTCCTCTGAAGCAATTACTGCTTATATTGCTCATACTGCTCCTGGTCTCTGGTCAGATCTCTTCTATGCTACATGTGGAAAAAATGAATCTTCACCTCCAAAGAGGCCATAATTCATGACAGAAAAGAATGTATGAAAAAAATCACATTAGAATATAAGAAAACTGAGATAATGGTCCACAGCTACACATGTAGCTAAGGACAGGTACACTTTTTAAAAAAACACCCTTGTAATAACTCTTCTGTGCACTGAGCTTCTATCAATTTGCTAGAAATTTACCTACAATAGAACACAACACAGATTCAAGGATCAGTCTGGAACTCTGGACCATGAGTGCCCATAATGTTTGCTGGTACTTTCCCAAGTGAATTTCTGTCCTGTATCAACTAGACATTCCTTACACATGGGTACAGCCAGGTCAAAGCACATATTTTGACAGTCTGTTCCCAGGAAGAGACTCTAGCTCTGCAGATCAGGACTACACAACATTTTACCACAGGACCAGGGAACTGCTTCTGGCTTGTACTACATAAAGCATCAGGCAGCTTCAGATTCTTTCTTTGATTAGGATTTCTGGGGAAGTGGTGAGAACATTTTAACCACAGCATTTGAACTCACAGCATTCATAAGCAAAGGACTCTTTTGTGCTCTGAAGATAATGAACAAATTGAGTTGGCATGCACATACTACCTACTACAGCTGCACAACAGTGCAGAAGCTGATGCAAAAGCATTACAACAGCTGGTCTACCTTGGACCACGTATCCTGTCTGTATCTGAGGGGATGTTAAATGGATGGCTGAAGAAGAATGGCTGCAGGCAGAAAGAATTTAACCTGCAGTTTGGAATTCCTCCACCTTTGCTTAAAATGCCAAGAACCTGAAAATCTTAAGTCAAACACTAGACTTTGTGGCTAATTATATATAATTCAAACACTGCAAAGAAACAGGAAGTAAGCTCAGAATTCAAGAATTAGCTTTGCTGAAGTTTCAACTGCACTGGATACACAACCTTCTACTTTTTAATCCCTACACTGGGCTCAATCTTACGTTGTAAGTATGCCTATCTAAACAACCATCTAAACTCCTACTGAGGAAAACTAGTTTGGTCAGGGAAGGCCAGCTCAATCATGACATTAACCACAACAAATCTAATAACTGGATGAAAAGCTAATGCGAAGCATGATGCTGCAGACAGAACTTTCATCTTTTGGAACCAAGATGGACCTTCAGGGCTCAAAGCTTCTTCTAAACCTTGCTTTTTAGTTCCTGATTTAAATCAGTATAAGCAAACCTTCTACTTGAAGAAACTATGTGAAAAATGCTTTTTGATCTTTCTCCAATTTTATGTACTAAGAGTCATGAAACACAGTAATCTTTAACCTCTAGTAAGGGATTAAAGAAATAGTAACCAAGAGGCAGGACAGACATCTCTAGTTCTTAGGAAGGAACAAGCAACAGGAAGTATCACCTAACACAGTAAGTGCCTCGAATTCATTTGCTCATTTTCAGGAAATAACCTATTTTTGCCAGAGTTGTGCAGCTAAAATTATCAGTTACAGCGTAATTCCCCTTTCCCAGTCTCTTCTGATCATGATTACTGTTTGCACATGAGAGAAGAAAGAAAATACTATTAAAATTAAAAGGCATCAGGCCAAAATTATGCCACCTATCAAATAAGGACTAAAGTTCACCTGTTCAAATGGCTAGAAGTGAATTAACTAGTTAAAGCAACGATGTACTAATGCTGTCCTACTTTTGCTGTGCCATCTAATCCACAGCTCTGGCAAGCATGCTCACTTTGTATTTGTTCTCCAATTTGGCAGGGGTAGGAATGTGGCCTCTCCTCCGGAAGGTTGTAAAGTGCTTGCACTGAGGGCATGGCTTCGTGCTGGAATCGATGCGGCTGAGTTCCAGGAAATATTTATACTTGATAATGTCCTCATGGGGCAGGTTATAGAGAACAGTTGTTTCATCCAGGTGTTCGCTGCACTCTGTGATCGGGCATTTTATATCTGCTTGTCCCAGCTGCACCTGCATATGAAAAAACAGAAGAGCTGTGTGACCTTTTGCTTGGAAAAGGTACTACTCTGCAACTATTATGGAAGCAGACTCTTGCAAATTCTAACTTAAATTGAATTGTCTTGCAGAGTACTCTAACAGTCCACAGACTATCAAGCATAACATCTTAAAATTATTTCTACTTATTCCAAGGACATAGCCATTTTTCCACAGGGTACTTTCCAAATCTGAGCAGAAAAGCCAATTAACCCTTATAACAACTGCAGTTTTAAAATATATAGTCTCAGTGTACGTACCATGGCGATGTACTCCATAAAAACAAAACATGAACTTAAATTAGCAGTACCCAAGACACACTCCAAGCTTTAGCTGAGATGGCCAACTCTTCACTGTCATGGCATACAGAGACAGTGAGAAAATAGGCAGTAGAAACATATGTATATTGCTTCACCTCAAAATGTGCTAGGAATCACGACATAGAGAAATTAAAGTCAATTTAAGATCATCAACTGACTCAATGCTAGTCCTGTTGCTCTGCCTTGCTGCTAGCAGCTCAGTAAATGCCATACTGCACGCACAGAACACGTCAGTTGAGCCTGGGGCTGGCCAAGCTAATAAATTTTCCCAGTACTTGAAGTGCTATAAAGTTAAAAAAAAATCCAACACTAAAAATCCCTAAGAAGATGATCAAAACAGAAGCACACACAGAAGCAAATTCAATCTGTCAGGGATGAAACTGCTGCTGATGCAACAAGGCCTGATGGTCTCAAGCTGATTCATGTGGCCAGTTACCTGCAACACAGGTCCTGGATCTTAGACCAGGGCTGGACCCAGGCCTGCACCCTTTGTGCCTGGCAGACTTCTCTGACTTGGAGACTGACTCCATGCCAAAACAGCACATCCTCAGCAGCGTAGCTACATTTGCTTGGCACTGGGCCTGAGTTAATAAACACTGCTGGGTCTGAGGAGCCTGCAAGGCCCCAGCATGAGCATGTTCACATCTGCCACAAGTAATGTTGAGAAAATGAGTGTTGACTGCAGACATGGAGCTGACCCAGCTCAACTCCTTCCTCACCTAACTTCTCTGTGCAGAGAGGAAGGAAGGGAGACTGTGGACGGAATCAGCGTCTTTCTAAAAATTGTTTCAAGACAGGTCAGTCCAGTTAATTTATACTGTTTATTCTTCAATAGGCTCTGGTATTGGAATCTCTTACATATGACAGTAACCTCTCAAATTCTGATGCAGACTTCCCTACTCCATGCAGATAATGAAAGACATCTTACACCAGAGACGGTGTTTGCAGTATTTAATCTAAGAAAAAAATAAAGCAACAATGCTGTCACTGCTGCCCCAGTTACAGAGCCACGGGCTCTAGCTGAACAATAATTTAGCCATTTAGAGGATTGAAAAAGGCATAGCAAAAATGTTATAAAACCCATTCATATTCAGATCATATTGACTTTAAAAAGAAATCCACACCGCACTGCCTTTCGTCTCCCAGCAATGCAGTGGATCCAAAGCAGAGTGAAGAAAGGAAGCAGGTAACTACAAGACAGCAGCAGTCCATCTAGAGACCAGAACACAGCAAATGCTCTGCACAGGTCAGGATGGAGGGAGACCTTCCCATGGGACAGAGGAGGTATACCTGTTCTCAGGAGGCAAATGCTCCAAATTTTACATGCAAAGATAGGTTCAAACATTCTGGCTTTTACATGGATCAGAGTGAAGTAAGAGGAGTATATGGTTGAAGGCACTTTTAAACAAAGAAATAACAAAAAAATGACAAGAACCCATGTGCTGAGGCAATGACCAGTTTTATATCTGGAAGACAAATGCATCTGAAGCAGCATGTAAAAAATGAACTCAGGTGCACGGCATCACTCAAATTTCTTCTTTAATTTTTAAGTTACTTCTCAGAAAGTCAGAATACCTGTTTGACACACATTCAAAATGTGCTACAGCCCCAGCACAGTAAGATCACAACATCATGACAGCACATCTCTATTTTAGAAGGGATGCTATCATCTGAAATATGGAATATATGGCTCTATCATGTGATACTAAATATATATTTACTTATGCTCTCTGCTTCTTAAAGTATTTTTGACAAGAAATAGGGATCTCTGAGCAATCTAGTCACTTTACTAGAAATCTTGATGCCCCAAAAGTTTTGCAGATGCTCAAGTCTTAATACTGGCAGCTCATGTTCTATCAATCCCGGCCTTTCACAGGTGCTCCCAGGATGCATATATAGACTTTCATTTAAAAGAAAGAAAAATATATTCTTCCACTGCTGCTGCCTACCCCTCCTGAGAGTCCATACAGTTCCAATAGCTCTCTGCATCACAGAACACCCACAACTTCTGAGACCAAATGCATATCAGTATTTTATTTCAGAACACTTGTACTTCAGTTGAAATTTATCATCCAGTACATCTGTGCTAAACAAGCAGAAACAAAAGAAAGAGTCTCATCCTCAAGAACTCAAATATGCTAACCTAGGAGAAAAAAACTTTACAGGAATGCAAAAACACTGTGGCATTGCTACAAGGATTAATAAAACATTCTATTTAAAGAATGTAGACACAATAAGTTGTAAAGTGTAAATGTAAAGTGTAGGCACAATAAGTTAAAGTCAAATAGGCAAGTTAATCCCATCTATGGCTACTTGGGTTTTTTGTTTCTTTAAAGAATTAGGAAAATACAAAAGCGGGTAAGTCCTTTTGCTAGGAGTAAGCTGCAGAGGAGAAACACTTCATGCTGAGAAGGCTCACTGCATTTGACATTTAAGCTGGTGCTTAAATATATATGACACGCTATTTAGAACAGACCTGCATTTATAAAACCAAGGAATACAACACTGAACACTTTCTATTTTTCATGCCCACGCAGAATATGATTAAATATGTGGTAAAAGTCAAGTGTGGTTTCAGTGTTTATTTTGAAAATATGTTTTACACCCACTTCAAGTAAATCATTTTTATCTTCCGTAATAGTTTCAGCCTTTCAAATTTGGCAAAGATTGATTCTTTTCCTACGTTTTGAATGGGACTGAGTGAACAGAGTTGTTTTGCTTATTAGCAGTAACTTCAATGGAGCCTTGTCTTACCAAAACAGTCTATCTTTGTTTGTGCACTAGGATCAGCAACTGATGCAAGTACAGCTTTAGAAGTAGCTTGTTGGCTACCTGCTGCTGCAGACCCCTGAGGTACCGTAGAATAGGATAAGAAGAAAAAAAATTAACCTGGATAATAGCTGTTATATTTTTCCCTTGTTTTTTTTTTTTTTCCAAAGCTGATTTCAAAGAGCCTTATTCCTTAACAGCTGAACACAGTATCAAAAGACTGAGTTTTAAGAACTATTCGAATTTCAAAATACCACTGTGTATCAAAAGCTTAAGAGCACTCAATATACACAACAGCAAGGTACATTTTCACTGCATGAGGAATGATTGATGTGTCTAAAGGTAGCTGAGTGGCAACGCAGTGGTAAATATCAAACTGCATTCAGTTCTCACACCCTGCTGTGCTTCACTAACGCAAAGCATCTCTGGAAGGGCTGGTACTACTTACAATCCTTCATATGGAAGCAGGCTCTCATGACTTCCATCCTATATAGAAGTAATGCTTAAACTATCAAAACAGCAGTACACCTCCCCATTTTCCCTAATTCTTGACATTTTATCACAAAAGATTGGAGGCAGAGACTCTCAACCAGTCCATATACTGCTCAAAAAAGACCACAGTGCTAGGAGTAATAGGAAAGCATGCTATAGTCATTTAAGTCAGAAACCTGAGCAGGAGAAATAATTTTTCACAAAAAAACAAAATCTTTGCTAGCTGCACAGAAAGTGAAGATCAAACTACATAAGAAGCACCAATTTGTACCTCTCACTTAGCCTGGCCATACCTAGCTGGAAGGCAACCTGTGTGGGTAAATTTGGGGGGTGGGCTGTATTCCTGAAGAAAAAAAAAACAAAGGGGGCCATTCTGCTTTAAAACAGACAGATACAAACCAGCATCATCTGAATTAAACTTTACTCTTAATTCAGAGATACATTAGCTAAATGAACCAGTAAGCTGTCAACTATTAAGCCAAAAGAAAAGTGAACAATAACATGCTTAGTCTGCATCACTGTAGAATGATTAAATTTCTACCACTACTAACTTCCCCTGTAGTCTAATGTGGACTTCATGTATTAAAAAAAATACCTTGGAACTGCGCAGATGCAAGCAAAGGGACAGCCTCATCTGTAGAACTTTCATATTCTACTGATTAAAAAACAGAAGAAAGTTCCTTTTATTTACAGGCAAAATTCTGTTGCTTCTAGTTTACTGAATACATTGCATGTTCATTTTGGCTGGTAAGTTTCAAATTACTGAATAATTACTTTCTTCACTTCTGGTAAGCAGAGAGTAGCATCTTGAATTGTTTCTTAAAGACTAATCAAACAGGTTTTTGTGGAAAATTCTTCAAGAGCTTACCACAGCTCAGGGCTCCACAGTGATTGGTGCTAACCAAATGAAATTGAAATAGACATGATTCAACAAGTAAACCAAGTAGGAATAAAAAAAGGGCTGTGTAAACTTTTAGTAAACACTTTGCACCTGTCTTTAAGGTTGTGGTTCCACGATCATTTTTGTGATGCAAGGACTAACTTGAGCAGTCCATATCCCCTGTCTCCACGCTATGCCAGTACTGCTCTGGCACTCTTCAAATTGTTTTTACAAAAAAAAAGTTATCCTATGAAACAGATTTCAGTCTGTCCGTGCTTACTGCCAAAATGCACAAATCCTCAGTGATTCAAAACAAGTGAGAAGGAACAGCTAGAAGTAAGAGTGATAGGCTCCGTAAGTCACAGAATCATAGAATCACAGAATGGTCTGGGTTGAAAAAGACCACAATGAACATTTAGTTTCAACCCCCTTGCTATGTGCAGGGTCCCCAACCACTAGACCAGGCTGCCCGGAGCCACATCCAGCCTGGCCTTGAATGCTTCCAAGGATAGGGC